ACATGCCAAGTAATTCAATGGGGAAAGAATAGTCTTTTGAACAGAAGGTGCTGGAACGGCTGAATAACTATATGCAAAAAGATGAAATTTAATCTTTACTTCACACTATATAAAACAACTTGAATAAAACAGGACAAAATCTTTGCAAACTTGGATTAGGCAGATTTCTTGCACGTGATAGAAAAAGCATAAGCAAGCAAAGAGTTGACAAGTTGAAACTTTATAAAAATTAAAACTTTTGCTCTTCAAAAGACACCACTGAGAAATGAAAATATTTGCAAAACATACATCTGATAAAGGACTTGCATCCATAATATATTAAAAACTTCTAAAATTTGGCAATAAGAAAATAAACAACCCAGTAAGAAATGAGCAAAATAGGCCATGCACAGTTGCTTAGGCCTGTAATTCCGGCACTTTGGGAGGCCGGGGCCGGTAGACTGCTTGAGCCCAGGAGTTCAAGACCAGCCTGGGTGACATGGTGGAACAAAATAATACAAACCAATACAAATATTAGCCAAGTATTGTGGCATGCACCTGTGGTCCTAGCTACTTGGGGGAATGAGGCGGGAGGATCACTCGCACCTGGGAGGTTGAGGCTGCATTGAGCCATGATTGTGCCACTGCACTCCAGCCTGGGTGACAAAGCGAGACCCTGTCTCAAGAAAAAAAAAAGAAATGCACGAAATATTTAAGTAATCACTTCTTTCCAAAGAAGATATGTAAATAGTAAATAAGCACAAGAAAAGATGCTGAACATCATAAGTTATCAGAAGAATGCAAATTAAAACCAAAATGAGATATCACTACACACCTACTAGAATGGCTAAAACAAAAAAGACTGACCAAGTGTTGGCCAGGATATAGAGAAACTCATATATTGCTGGTAAGAACGTAAATGGTGCAGCCACTTAAATTTATTCAACTTAGCAGTTCAACTCTGAGGTATCTACCCAGGAGAAATAAAAAGTGTATGTCCACAGAAAGATGTGTATACAAATATTCATGGCAGTATATTCATAATGGCCCCAAAACTGGAAACAATGTCCATCAACTGGCAACTCAATAATCAAAATGTTGTGTATCTATAGGGTAGAATATTATTCACAATAAAAGCATGATAAGAAATTGAAGAACTCAGACACAAAGAACTACATATTGTGTGAATCTGTTTATATGAAAATTCTAGAAAAGGCAAAACTGCAGAGAAAGAAAGATCAGTGGTTGCCCAGGGCTGTGGGTAGGAGCAGAGATGGGTTGCAAACAGGCAAGAGGTTACTTTTTGTGGTGATAAAAGTGTTCTAGGCTGGACGTGGTGGCTCACTCCTGTAATCCTCGCACTTTGGGAGGCAGAGGCAGGTGAATCGCTTGAACCCATGAGTTCAAGACCACCCTGGGCAACATGGCAAAACCCTGTCACTACATAAAATACAAAAATTAGCTGGGCATGGTAATGCATACCTGTAGTGTCAGCTACTCAGGATGCTAAAGCAGGAAAATCACCTGAGCCCAGAAGGTGGAGATTGCAGTGAGCAGACATTGTACCACTGCACTCCAGCCTGGGAGACAAAGTGAGACCCTGTCTTAAAAAAAAAAAAAATTAAAAACAAAATGGAAAGCACTTATGCCTTCATGGCACCTCCTTCCTCTTTGGCTGACCTCTGAAACATCTGGTGCCTGAGTAACTCTGGGGTAAATTTCTCCTTGAGCTTTCTTCCCCCCAGCCTTGGAAGGCCTTGTGGGAGATCTGGAATGGATTGATTAGCAAGTAGCTCTAACCCTGGGGGAGCATCTTCTTTCTCTTAGTGGTGGTTAGAAAGAGAAAACTGACAAACAGGAGCACATGTGGAAGACCACACGCAGGATGGCAAAGGCCTTAAAATCATGCCTTAGTCATTCATCACTCTTCCATCAAATACTTGTTGTCTTCACTCTGCCTAATAAGTCAAATAAGTGCTGTGACTGTAAAACAATGAATATTACTGACAAGGTGCTTGCTCTCATGGAGCTTCTATTCTAATAGTATAAAGCAGAGCACAGAGCATACATAGCTGGGTAGATGGATAAAAGAAAGTAATAAGAAAACACTTAAGTTCTCTGCAGTTAAAAGAGTGAGATCATAGAATGACTGAACCACAAGAGGGAGCCAGTCATGCAAGGAGCAGAAGGAGGCACCATTTCTGTTTTAACCGCCCTAGCCATTTGAAGCCCTCAAGTCCACCTTTAAGCAGCTTCAATTTCAGAGTCTGTGTAATCACTCTCTGAACTCCCTGACCACCTTAATTCTGTCATGCTGGTGGGCAAAACTGCAACTCCAGTTAAATCCAACTTTCCACCCATACTCTTTCCGTACCCATGAGCTGGTCATAGATGGAAAACAGGCAGACAGACAAACACACCCTCCCGCACCCTGGACACACATACCATGCTGTTTGGTCTTACTTTAAATGTGTCACTAGGAATTTAAGTAGGCCCTTTCTATTTCCTAGCTAATGTCTTGTATTTCCCTGGTCCTTTCACTCTGCTACTCTATTAATGGACATCTTCATCTCTGTTTTTCTCTTCTCTCCCATCCTCACTCTCAGCTGCTGACTGTGCTTCTTTCCTTATTGAGACAATTGAAGCATCAGAAGAGGACTTCCATTCACTCTTACCCTGCCCACTTATCCATGCAGGGGTGCTGCTTTAGGCCCTGCTTTTCTCCCTATCAGTAAAGAAGCACTCTTGGTGCAGCTGTGCAAAAGCCTCCATTTATACATCAGATCTCACCCCTCTTACAGAATCAAGAACACTAGACCAGACCATACATCATCAATTTTTCCTCTACTGGATCATTTCTAACAGTATACAACCATGCTGTTGTGTCAACCATTTAAAAAACAAAAATCTTGGCCAGGCGCAGTGGCTCACACCTATAATCCCAGCACTTTGGGAGGCCAAGGCAGGCAGATCACCTGAGGTCAGGAGTTTGAAACCAGCCTGGCCAACATGGTAAAACCCCGTCTCTACTAAAATTACAAAAATTAGCCAGGCGTGGTGGCAGGCACCTGTAATCCCAGCTACTCAGGAAGCTGAGGCAGGAAAATCAGAGGTTGCAGTGAGCCAAGATCACACCATTGCACTCCAGCCTGGGGGACAAGAGTGAGACTTAGTCTCAAAAAACAAAAACAAAATAAAAATCAACTCTTGACTGCACTTCACTTCCCTTATTGGTTACCATCTTACTTCTCTGTAACCCTTATAGCCAGTTGTCTATACTAGCTGCCTCCAGTTCCTCTTCTCCTATTATTCTCTCTTAAATTCTCTCCAATCCAGCTTTTGTGCACCACTGAGGTGAAACTGACCTTTCCAAGATCAACAAAATAAACAAAACTAAAACTCTATCAGAATGAAAAAAAAAAAAAAGAATTAGGCAGCTGTAAGTTAGGGAAGCCATGTCAGGGGAATAAGATGGACAGAAGAGGACTAGATTGACTACCTGTATCGTAAGAATTCTTTACATGTTTTGTATTCTTTCCATTCCATTTGGATCTCTCTCTCTCTCTCTCTCTCTCTCTCTCTCTCTCACACACACACACACACACACACACACACACATTTTTTTCCCTAATTTTCTTTGGAATCTAGTGTTTCCCAGATTCTCAAAGCAGGCTATTAGAGTGAAATCTGAATATTAGACTAATATGCTCACCATTTAGGGAAAAGGAGAGTAAAACAAAATTATAGCAGTGAGGGAGCTTTCATTTTATGTTTTCTTATCTCTGAAATTGACGTGAAACCTCAGAAACCTAAAGGTCTCTTTAATCCAACCAGGAATAATTTAAGGAATCTAAGAAAGAGTTGCCCCCATATCATGTCCTTCTAGTCTAACATAAATGTAGTTGTGGTAATTTTGCAGCTATCCCTTTTTAAAAATAGCCCTCCCAGGAATTACATGTATTAACCTCAGGTAGCTTTGAAGGTCTGGCTACAGTACTGTGCTTGCTGATCTTATCAGTGGGAACAATTGTGACTTACTTACCTCATTGTGGTGGTCTCATACCTTTAGTGGGCAGGGTGATTTATGGACTCAGCACCAAATGAGGTAAACATTTAACAACTGTCCCCATCAGTTGGTTAATATAGGGAATCTCATTAGATAGTGCATATCATCAGCAACTGGCAAAATGTAAGTCACAATCCATTAGTGACTTACAAAATTAATTTGATGGGCTGAACAATTTTTAAAAAACAAAATAAAACAGAAAATATCAGCGCATTACGCATACTTAGGATAAGACATAGTTCGTGAGACTTTGGTTTCAGTTGTTAAGAGTAAGTTCTGATTCATAAAATCAAATTTTTATTATTTTTGTAGATGGACTCTCGCTCAGCTGCCCAGGCTGGAGTGCAGTGGTGTGATCCTGGCTCACTGCAACTACCATCTTCCAGGTTCAAGCGATTCTCCTATCTCCATCCATAATGCAATAACCAGTGTGGCAGAATGTACTAATCAAAATTTGAGAACATTTGGAAATTTTCCACATCATTTTCAGCATCATATATCACTGGGCATGAGACAAAACAAGAGGAATCTGGTGCACATTAGAGTGAGGCTTTCATGTGCAATACCAGTAAGAGCTTAAACTTTGTAAGTTAAAGTATCATAATAGAGTTTACACTTTACAAACTACTTCACATGCTTGATTTCATTTGAGTTTCTTGTCCATCTTTTGTAGCAAGCAAGACAAAAAGGTAGCAGCATCTGTGGCAGGTTTCAATGATCCATCCAGTTTAGATCAGAAGCCCAGCCAGCAGCTGCAAGAAAAGCTCTTACCCACAGTCCCAGAGAGAGACCTGGCAAGGGTGAAAACCCATATGTGGACTCTAGCCAAGTAAACTGGGGTTCAGGGCAGAACTCCAGTTCCAGGAGGGAGAATGGAAAGGGTGAACAGCAACTGGGGCAGAAGCCCAGACAGTAAACAAAGCACACAGGTGGCGAGGCCCATCCTCAGGCATACTGGATTCCAAGCTCACACCCGCAGAGTTCCAGAACTCCATGCCTGGCTTTGAAGTAGCAGCAAAAAATATCATGTGGATAAGGGACATGGTGTAGAGGTTATCAGGCACCTGCAGAGGGAAGGAGAGACTAGTAGGGAACGGAAAGTTAATCAATCAGCCTGGCATGAGTAGGGTTGCCAAATAAAATACAGGATGCCTACTGAAATTTGGATTTCAGATAAACAATGGAAATGTTTTAGTATAAGAACGTATCATGCAATATTTGGGATATGTTTATGCCAAAAAGTTATTGTTTATCTGAAATTTATATTTAACTAGGCATCTCATATTTTTATTTACTAAATGTGGCAACTCTTCCTGTGGGTGTGATGAAGAATGAGGCTGGAAGGGTTGGCAGAGGAAGATCATAAAGGGCCTGTGTGCCATGCTCAGCAGATAATGGGGAGCCAGGAAAATTTTTAAAGCAGGGGAATAGTATAAAAGGGTTTGCATTTTAGAATCATTGTAGTAGCCCTGTGGAAAACAAAACAGAGATCAGAAGGACAGGAATTGAGAGATCAGAAAGCTATTTCAATAGTTCAGATTTGAGGGAAACTGAAAATAACTTAACCCACTTCACAGTCCTGCCTAAAACCAGCAAGGCTCCCAGGTTCACTTGGGCTGTAATGACCAAACTATTCTTTCAAGAGCTACTCTTTGGTGTTTTTTTGTTTTTGTTTGTTTGTTTGATTTGAGATGGAGTCTCGCTTTGTCACCAGGCTGGAGTGCAGTGACAAGATCTCGGTTCACTGCAACTTCTACCTCTCAGGTTCAAGCGATTCTCCTGTCTCAGCCTCCCAAGTAGCTGGGACTACAGGTGCGTGCCACCACGTCCAGCTAATTTTTTTTTTTTTTTTTTTTGTAGATACAGGGTTTCACCATGTTGGCCAGGATTGTCTCTTATCTCCTGACCTCGTGATCCACCCATCTCGGCCTCCCAAAGTGCTGGGATTACAGGCGGGAGCCACTGCGGCTGGCCCATCATCTTTGTTTCTTTAGCACCTGACCCAGGGCTGGGAATAAGTTTCTCAGAAAATAGTTCTTGATTAAAGCGGCCTAATTAATTAACAACCAGAAGTGCTTCCTATTAACTACATTTCTCCAATATTACTTCAAAGGTACAACCTGGCATATTTTTCACATGAATGTAGCAGAAGCTTGCCTCTTATGATGGACCAGAAAATTGTTTTTTAAAGCTGAAGAATTACACTGATTAGATGAAATTTTAAAGATAATATTCCTCATTTATGTGAAAATGTGAAAATTTTTTCTTGAATTTTCCTGCTTCCACAAGCTTTATCATATGTGGAAATTAGTAAATCTCAGAAAAAAAAAGTCTTAAATACATCTCAGGTAGAGAAACATAAACTGGTACAAAGTGGTCTTCGCCTTCAGCTACCAGTAGCAGTATAGTTCCTTGTATCTGTGTCTCTTCCAAAGCTGAAGTGTGAATTTTTTGAGGGCAGGAACTAACCTAATTTAGCTTCCTAGTCGCAGAACTTTCATTAATAGTTGGTTTACTGAATTTCCAAGATCAGGCAGTCAAAAGGGAAAAAATAATTCTGGGAAGCGTATGAGGTAAATAAAAATGCAATTTAAAAATTATTATAATGACCCTTTATTGAAAATTATGTTCCAAGTGTCATGCTAGATGCTTTATATATGTTTTAATACATTTTGATTACACTTCAATTCTAAAAACTATTCTTTGAACTGTTATAACACTCATGTTACGGGTAAAGAAACTAAGAAACGGCCAGGTGCAGTGGCTCACACCTGTAATCCCAGCACTTTGGGAGGCTGAGGCAGGTGGATCATGAGGTCAGAAGTTCAAGACCAGTCTGGACAAGATGATGAAACCCTGTCTCTACTAAAAATACAGAAATTAGCTGGGTGTGGTGGCAGGTGCCTGTAATCCCAGCTAGTCAGATGGCTGAGGCAGGAGAATTGCTTGAACCCAGGAGGCAGAGGTTTCAGTGAGCCGAGATCGTGCTACAGTTTGGGCAACAAAAGCGAGATTTCGTCTCAGAAAAAAAAAAAAAAAAAAGAAAGAAACATAGAATCACAAATAAGTAATTTGCCCAGACTGACATAGTTAACAAATTGGCAGAACAGAGATTAGTATCAGACTCCAAAGTCTATGCTCTCACTATGACACCAGGAATTGTCATTTTAAAGTGTATATTGGAGAGAGGAAGATTGGTGAGGTTCTTATAAAAACTTCCTTTAATCAGCCACTACATGATATCTCAGAAAACTAAAGTTTGATTTTTTAAAAATATGTGAGTACATGTGTGTAAGACAAGAGATATGAAGGTATTTCTTACATGTTTTCAGCCATGTTCTTTTTCTGTTCAGTTTTATAATTAAAAGGACAAATGACTTTACATATACAATTAGACTGCATCTCCACCTTGACTGCAAACTGATGTTACACTTAAATTATAATCACACTGTTGTTATCAGGGATTAAACATATGGGTTGTAGATGTTATAATCAGTCATAACAATTTCATTTATCCCATCCAGAGGAATACATGCAGATCATGTTCAGACATGCAATGGAACCTTAACAGTCCACATGTATAAGAACTTATCTGTGACAATCCAGATCCTCCTCTGAGCTGTAAATATAATTGTATACAGCAGTTGTTCTCTGGTTTTGTTTGTTTTTTTGGTAAATGTGTACTTTTTGCCTGATGCTAACATCTTTTCAACAGCCCTCTTTTGCCTGCTCAACCGCCAGCCTCCCAGTTCACTGATCCCAGGAAGAATCAGAGTCTTGTCTGCCCAGGATGATTTTCTTCCAGTCTGTGCCAGGTTAAATCACAGCTAAGCTTTACCAAACTTTTGGAGTCTATAAAAGCGAAAGTAAGTCATAAAGTACAAGTGTTGGCATAACTAATTTATTTATATGAAATAATTTAAAGAAGAGGAACCAAATATCGTAAAATGATGGGGGGAAAGCAGCTGATTTAAAAAATTGAGAAAAAGAGCCGTACATGGTGGCTCACACCTGTAATCCCAGCACTTTGGGAGGCCGAGGTGGGCATATTACCTGAGGACGGAAGTTCAAGACCAGCCTGACCAACATGGAGAAACTCCGCCTCTACTAAAAATACAAAATTAGCTGCCCGTGGTGGCATGTACGTAATGTAATCCCAGAGACTCGGAAGGCTGAGACATGAGAATCGCTTGAGCCCAGGAGGCGAAGGTTGTGGTGAGCCGAGATCACTGCCATTGTACTTCAACCTGGGCAACAAGAGTGAAATTCCATCTCAAAGAAAAAAAAATTTAGAAAAGCGAAACATGTTTTGCCTGGCTTTGTAAATAAAGAAGCCTGCCAAAAATGGTCTACAAAGGTGTAAGACTCAAAAAGCATCTCCAGTGTTCTACCTTCACCAGAAACATCAAAGGAATTTCCTAGGATGGAATTATGGAAAAGATCCTCTTCAGGCCTTCATTTGCTCATTCATTGCTAGGCATGGTGCTACACATGGGACATAGGAAATAGATATCGCTTGGACCTGGCCCTCAGAGCTTACCCTCAGAGGGAGATGCGGCAACTGTGCTGTACCCTGATCTGTGAAAGGCATCAGGAAATAAATGTAAAAACCACACAGTGGGTGCACAAAGGGGAGAGTGGTCAACTCTGTGAGTCTAATAAAAATAATTCACAACAATCACATACCAATGTTCAGTGAGTCCTGTCCCTACCCCATCTTCTAACGCCATCCCCTAAGAGAAATGACAGGTGAACAGGGCACAATCGAAGCTGGGCTCTAATTAAATGTGTGCTCTAGAGCAACTCCTAGCTCTCTCAGGGCTTCCGTTTCTCTGCCTGTAACGCCAGGAACCCTATTCAACTATAGAGTCCATTTCTGCTTTGAATTGTGAAATAAAAGGCAAAAACAAAGCAAAACAAAAAAACCCAAAACCAGAAAGGAAACTCACGAGAAACAAAAGTGAAAGTGCCTGAAAAGAACCCAGTAGTAAACAGGAGTACAAAATTCTCTATCTCACCGGAAAAAGTGGCAGAGTTCGCAAATATTTTTTTTCAGCAACCGTGAACTTCGGAAAGAATGAAATGTCTATCACGCCTTCTGAATGTGAATAAGATCAGTGTAACACGAATCCACCTTGCTCTATGCAACTGCCTTCTGAAACAATCCTCTCTGACCCTGAACAACCACTTATTTAAATAAGCGGTTCTTAAATAAATCAATCCGTAGTGAATGGTCCATCACCACAAAACCAATCCCCATTGAACACCACACTAGGGTGTGTCCCACTTTGGGAAAAGGGAGAAAACGGGAGTAAAGAAAGAGGAGAAGGATTGGAACCAACATTAGATTGTGCCTGGTGTTGCCACGCGGTTGTCATAAACAACAGCATCGAAGCAAACTGTATTAAAACTTAGGAAATACAGCGGCCTTTAAACTCTATTATGTCCCCGCTCGTGGCAATAGTGAGACTTCTCTGAACGTAGCCAACAACGGTACAGACCCCCCGGGAAGGAGAGCGAGCTCTGGGGCGGACCGGCGAGTGAAGGCAGCCGGAGATGGGGAGCAGGCTGACAGCTTCTGCGGCGCGTGAGGGGCCGGGCTGGGCGACCGTCACAGCCAAAGGGTGTGAGCTGGACCCTCCGGGGTCACTGGGCTCCCCAGGGTGGGAGGATGGATGCTGCCTGTCTGTTGCTGGAGCCTCCCTTCTCGCAGCAGAGGAGGGAGGGCGCGCGCACGTACACACACACACACACACACACACACACACACACACGCACACACATCTTTCCCCTGGAGTTGTGTCTCGTCTCCCTTTTGTTTTCCCCCCTTCCCGGTCATGAGACCCGGAAGTTTTTTTTTTTTTTTTTTTTTTTTTTTAATCCCGTCTCTCTCGCTCCCTTTTCCAACCCCCCCTCATCTATCACATGGCAGAGATAGAATAAAAACAGAAAAATGGCGACGGTCACGTTGTGGCGAGCCTTGCTGCGTCATTAGATAATCCTCATGCAAATAGCGGGAAGAACAAAGGAAGGGGGGCCCGGGACCCCCGGGGGCGCAGGTGGGTGTGGGGGCGGCGGCCGGGCGCGGGGGCGGCGGGGCGCGCGGCCCGCGGGAGGCGTAAGGCAAGCGGCGTGTGGCCGCGCGGGGCTCGGGATGCGGACTGTGGACGTCCGAGTGCGCGCCCGTGCGCCGCCGTGGAGCGCTGGCTGCTGCGCTCCCGGCCCAGTATCCGGGCGCGTCGGAGCCGGCCTGGGGGCGCGGAAAGCTGTGGGGCGCACGGAGCCGCTCCGGAGGGGCTGGCCGCGGCGCACACGCACACGTAGCCGCGGGGCTCGGCCCGCTCAGCGTCAGCAAAGGGGTCTGGGGGAGGGCCGGGCGGCACCGGGGGCCGAGGGCGCGCCCCTGCCCCGCGCCGAGCGCCTGCCTTCAGCCGCCTTGGGGGACCGCACGTAGTTCACCACCTCGGGGTAGGCGGCGGGGCGCGGGGGCGGCGCGGGGCGGGCCGGGCCTCCACACTACAGGACGGACTTCGAGGGTGTTGCCGGGCTGGGTTTGTTGTTGTTAGCGCGCGCAAGTGTTTTTCCCTAGGGGTAGCGGGGCGACCTCGCCCATGGGCATTTCCGCGGTTTCCCGCGGCCCTCGCTGGGGTGTCAGTGGCGGCGCGGGGAGCCCCGGGCGCCCGGCTCGGCCCCCGGGAGGGGAGCGGCGCGGAGGGGCGGTGTGTGTGTGTGTGTGTGTGTAAATGTTGCGCACTCGCTTTTCCCCCACCCCCGCCCGCGTCCAGGGTGCTGGCGTGGGTCCCTCGCCGTCCGGCGGCGACTGTAAATAGAGCCTGGATGTTGTTTACATGAAAGATCCAGCGGGAGGAGTCTAAGAGGAGGCGGCGGCGGCGGCGGCGGCGGCGGAGGTGGAGGAGGAGGGAGGGAGGAGAGAGGAAGACCGGAGTCCCCGCGGCGGCGGCGGCGGCGGCGGTGGCGGTCCGGAGAGAGGGCGAGCCCCGCGCGGCGCCGGAGAGCGGACGCTACCACGAGGCTGGGACGCTGGAGTCTGGGGTAGGAGGGAGAACGGGCACGGGGCGGGAAGAGGGGTCCGTCAGTGGCGTTTTTAGCTTGCACCCCGCCACGCAGATTCTCCCTGGCCGGAGAGGAGGAGGGTGGAGGGAAGGCGGAGAAGCCTCGATTTCTCTGCACGTTCGGGAACGCCTTCTCCCCCTTCGTTCTCCCATTCCCTGTCTTTTCCCGCTCCTCTGCGGTCTCACCTGTTTATTTCCGTCAGCTGGAGCTCGCGGTTTTTTATATGGGCATGAGAGTCTGTTTCTTTTATTAGAAACATTATTGGGGAGAGGGGTGCGTTGCTGTAATATGTGCCGGTCCAGGTCGGTTTTCAGGCAGGGGGAGGGGACTTGGCGGAGACGCCGGCTTCTGGCCGCAGCTGACCCCAGGGCTTCTCCCTGCCTTCCCGTACGAGGAATTCTTTCCCTCACTCTGCTACCCGCACACCAGCTGCCACCTTCCTGGAGAAAGACCACACCTGTGCTTATACCCGCTTTGGAGGAGAGGTGAGCTGAGAAACCAGGGAATCCCCTGCTCTCCAGGATTCTTGGTTATTCCCCTCCCCAATCTCAGCATTGGCCAAAAATTGCTTTCACCTGCTGATTTCATTCGACATGCCTGTCTCCCACCACCCTTTCCCCCGGCAAGTTGTGGTCTGAAAATGTTTTGGGATTTTCTCTTCCCTTTGGATATGGCCCCCACCAATCAGCAAATAGCTCCTGGGCTTAGGTTGAGAGATAGAGAGGGGGAGGGGGGGAGAGAGAGAGAGAACCCCCTTCGCCTGGTGCGCTGTTTTTTATTCCCCTCTGGGTCTTCTAATGGAATCTGCTCTCCTCCCATAGCCCCCTTTATTCTCCCCCTAAGCTTAACCCAGAACCAGGCCTAAACAGCCTGTCTCTGGCGTTCTTTCTCCAGGCCCCACCCTGGCCCCTTTTGCTTTTCCAGAGCCAAAAAACGCCTCCCAAGCAGAAGACACACCCAGCCCCAAGTCTAACCATTCCAAAAGGGAGGAGAACACAGTGGAAGAACAGGGACCCAAGGGTCTCCTTCTGTCTTGAATATTCCAAGCGTTTCCCTCTTCAAGGCTCCTAGCTATGTAATCCCTTTTTTATTATTACCAATTGTCTCTCCCATTCTCTTTGCCCCTTGTCCTATGATAGATATTTAGGGAGAGGGGTGGAGAAGGAGGTTGTCACCCTCTCTTCCTTGCAGTGAGATATTTTTCTTTTTCTCAGACTTTTCATTTATTAGATGTTTAGCATGTAAAATATGTAAATCTGTTTGCAGGCTTATTTGAACTTGTTTTCTTGCTGGCTGAGGAATAGCTGATACTCTAAAGGGAAGAAGGGGGAAAAAGATCAAAAGTAATACTCTAAGTTTTCCCCATTTGAGCATCCCCAGAGTTGCCAGAGAAGACCCTCCTGAAAAAACCAAAAGTCTCCCTTCCATGACATCACCACCTAAGCCCTTCCAACTTTAGCTTCAGAACAGGAAGAAGGCTCAAAATAGAATTACCTTAGGAATCCAGCTCCTTGAAAAGATCAACTTTTAAATCAGCTGCAGGAGGAACACAGTGAACTTTGACATGGGTAGTGAGCAGGGAGAGAAGGCTGTATGGTGTGCATAATTGGTTCCTTTGGGGGAGGGTTGTGGGATACTTCCCATGTATTTCAGAAAAGCTTTTCTCTAGATAGAGTTAGGTACCTAGACCTATGAATATTAAATAGGTTGGTTCGAGATTCATTTATTGAATTATTCATAAGTTTTGGTATGTCAACAATAACAAGCACTTATCAGAATATGAATTAAAGAGGGGCTCCTCTGCAGAGTCTGCTCTAGACAGAGAAGGTTGTTTCAGGAAGATAGGAGGGAGCACTTAAGGAAGACAGAGAAGCTGAGGATGCAGTGACAGCTGCTGTATGTAAGTTGAGAGGCTCATAAACAATAATTGTAACTTTTGTAGATGACTGATACCCTGGACAAAGAAGTAAAGATGTCAGGATTTTCCACCTTTACCTTGGAAATTAACCCGTTGTCTTTGAATCTCAGGGCCTCCATTCTGTCCCTGAATTGAGATTTGCCTTCCTCTCTGAGCTAAAATAGTTACTCAGTCTTTTGGAAGAGCTGCCTAATAAATGATCGTTACTGAAGTGTTGACAACTTAAGGATTGGAAGTGGAGCAGAAAATACTTGGTATAATTTGAGCACTTGGTGGGTGCTGTAAGATGACTTGCTGGTTGATGGGGTAACTTCTTTTACTCTGGTTCAGGTTTAAAAGAATCCAGGTGACAGAGATAAGACACCTGCCCTAATATGGTATCTACTGGCCCCGTGGCTATTAACCAACCACCTGAAATATGGCAAGGGTGAGAAAGAGCTCAATTTTAGATTTTATTTAATTTTAAAAATTGGTAACTTGGTTTAGTTATTGGAAAGCTTATTTATGTTTGGAAACACACTTGAGCGTATGCATCTACTTTTAAAACTAAGTTTTTTGAAATCTAAATACAAATTAAGTATTTCCAATGAAAATTTAGAATTGGGGTGTGTAAGTGCAAGGTACTCTTCAGATTTCAAAGACAGTAGAATAGTGCATCAATTTTATGTTGATTGCATGTTCAGATGATAATATTTTAGATATATTGGGTTAAATGAATATACTATTAATTCTGCCTGTTTATTAATGTGGCTACTAGAGAATTGAAAATTACGTGTGTAGCTTGCATTATACCACAGTGGACAGCTCAGGCCTGCATCACTCCTTTTCATCTATGGATTAATTTCCTTTCCTTTTTTTTTCCCCACCACCCTGAGATGAAGTCTCTCTCTCTCACTGTGTGGTCCAGGCTGGAGAGCAGTGATGTGATCTTGGCTCACTGCAACCTCCGCCTCCCAGGTTCAAGTGATTCTCCTGTCTCAGCCTTCAGAGTAGCTGGGACTACAGGCATGCGCCACCATGCCCTGCTGATTTTTTGTATTATTAGTAGAGATGCAGTTTCACCATGTTGGCCAGGCTGGTCTTGAACTCCAAAGCTCAGGTATTCTGCCCGCCTCGGCCTCCCAGAGTGCTGGTATTACAGGCGTGAGCCACTGTGCCTAGCCCTTGGTTTAATTTCAAAAGTGGTAACTGTATGAAATATTGTTATTTCATGTTTGTGAGCTATCTACTTTCCACTGCAGTGTTCCGTGTGATGATTGGGGACCCCAGGTATTACATTATTACTGTTACAATAGGGAGATAAGTGTAAAAGTCCAGAGTTCTAGAATGGCTAGCAGGGGTGTCCTGGGAAAATTTGGATACCCACATATCTGGCTATTGCGGCTTTTGTAAAAGGCTCCTGGGCATAGCAAAAGATACCAGAAAATGTGTGGCAAAATAACAGTTGTGACACCTGGTGGCATTTTAGTGATTCTACTCATCTGTCACTCACTTCCATTTATTTTTTCTTTTCTTCATCTACTTTCTGCCTCCCCCGCCACCCTCCATCAGGGCTCCACTGGTGGTAATTGGGCCCACAAGGTGGATGACTCCTTTCCTCCAAAAACAGTACAATGCTGACATGAATAGAGGTAGTGCTGTCTTGGGGGGTTTGTTTTGTCTAATGAGATTCATAAATCTCACTGGAAGAACTTAGGGACTATTCAGTACTATCCCTTTATTTTATAGATGCCAAACTGCCCAACACCTTACCTAAGACCATATAAACAGAGACTGGAATTAAACATACTCGTGTTGATAACCTATTTAGAGACTCCCTGAGAAATGGAGAGGTTTGTCAATTAATCAAGTATTTGTTGAGCTAGCATTTTGTGGAAGTGACCACTAAGTGTTGTGAAGGGACATGAGTAAAATAGTTTCTGACTTTAGAAAGAGACCTGTTGACTTGAGAAATAAGGCATAAACAGCACCAAATTAAATTACAGTATACAATACGGTACTTACTGAATGCACTGCCACTGTGGCATGTGTTACTAGTAGAAATGTGTTCATTTTCCAGATGTAGGAATAGAAGCTTCGAGGGGTGGACTCTGCAGGAAAGTGGAATGTAATTTGTTCCTGGAACAGCCCAAGGCTGTAGAATTGGAGGGCATTGCAAGCTTTTGGTATTGGCCTCTTGAGCTGTCCATTAAGGGAATTTGAAAATCTGAGACCCAGCATTTTTAAATGGCAGAGCTGCAGTAATGAGGAAATCGTGGATTAATTGGAGACCATCAGGGTTTTTAGAGATGTTTAGCCAGGGGTGGATCATTTTGAACTTAGCTGGCATGTAAAACTGACTTGTGAGCAATCTATAACATCTAAAATCTGGGGAGTGAGAGTGGTGAAATGTGATCTAGAGCAAAATCAGAAAGTAAATTAACTTTGGAGTATACAGTTGGACTAAAAACATGGTGCTGAGGACATGTTTGAAGGGGAGAGGCCTGTATAATACAATATATATGGGCCAGTCCATGTATTTATAAATTTTTAGTCTCCTGGAGCCTTTTTGGACTAAAATCTTTGTCAACATGAGGGAGAAAGCTCATTCTTCTTGTGTTACTTGTCCATAGGTTTTTTTTTCCTCCACATGAACCTGCTAAGGTTATACAGCATGAGATTATTTAGGCGCCAGTGCTCAAAGTCAGTTAAAATGATGACACCCCAGTTAATGCTTCTCTTCGAGAATAGGGGCTAACTTTGCACAGGGCAGTGTTCCTTGACTTCTTCTTGGCTTTTTGCCAATGTCTTTTTCCGCAAAAGAGAAAAAATCTGTAACCTGCCACCCCCATTAATCTTTGACACAAATTAGTTTTTAAAAATTCAAAATAGCAAAGTTTGCAATAAAATGCAAGTATATATTCTGTGCACTTGTGACAAAGCAGTAGTTGACATTCGAACAACTTTTGCTTACGTGTTTATAACATCTCAGTGAGGTCAAATTTGCACATTTTATATAGTATCACAGAATTAGATGATGATTTTCAAATTGTAAAATCACACTAGTTAAAAGGTCAGTGGATTTAAATACACTATAGTTTAAAAGTATTTTCAAATATTTCGCATGGCCAGCAACTTATGGTACCTTCATTTATTTAATATATAATCAGATATTTAAAGGTTTAAAATAATATTTTCATTTTAGGTTATAAATAAGAGGGATGTAGCATGTTTTTTGTGCTTATATTTGTTGGTTGGTTGATTGAGAAAGGGTCTTATTTTGTCACCCAGGCTGGAATGCAGTGGTACAGTCATGGCAGCCTCGGCCTCTTATATTCAAGCAGTCCTCCCGCCTCAGCTTCCAAAGCAGCTGGGACTACAGGCCTGTGCCATCATACCCTGCTAATACTATTTTTTGTAGAGATGGAGTTCCACTATGTTGCCCAGGCTCGTCTTGAACTCTTGGGCTCAAGGAATCCTCCTGCTTCGGCCTCCTAAAGCGCTGAGATTACAGGCATGAGCCAACATGCCTGGCCTTGTACTCCACATTATTTTAAAAGTTCCTTGGTATGCCAGTTTTCTATAAGTACCTGATTTTGTAGATAATATTTGGTATATGCATTATGAAGAATTGTTCCTAGTTGTATCATTTTTAACATCAAAGAACTAGTTTAAAGTCAGTTTGGGTCCTGGAGGAAAGCATTTTACATCACTGTTTTCTCTCTTTCTCTCTCGGTATGCAGTTATTTTGTCTTACTGTAGTATGAGTTCTTGTAGTCACTTGTTTATAAATTTAAACAGCTCAGTTCTTAGAAGAAACATGTTGAAAAAGAAATATTTCTGATGAATTTAAATTTTCAAAAATGCACATTTATAAACATAATTTTCAAGATAGAGCAAGTCACATTTTTGAAGCATTTATTATTTTAAAAATAGTGTTCTGAATTTTTCTTCCTTGAAACTGCTTTAGAATCTGAGAGAATATTACTTTTAAGTAACTATTCACAGAATAATGACAATTTGCTGCTTGTTATTATGGATGCTTTACTTTTTTTTAATTTAGGTAGAGAAAAATGCCATGAGAGAAAAATAAGGAGAAAAAGGAAGTATCTTTTACTTATTGTACCAAAAATGTTTAGTTGTTGTATGGATTTTGGTGATGGCTAATAGAGTGAATTTAAACTTTGCAGTACGTTACATTTACTTCATCTTAATACTTCATATTTAGACATTCAATCACACTAATACTTATTTTGGTGAAGAACAGTCTAATAACTACCAAATATGTCAGGGTTATTTATTTGTCTCCATACTTACCCAACCTTGAGTATTTCAGGGTAAGTATTCATTTTTCCAAAGCTGACAGAATTTGTAGTCAAGAAATATTAGGTGGTAATCTTATCCTTTTAGGTGGGACAGCTATCTAAAATTTTACTCCAAAATAATCAGAGTATCTTTGTTCACGTAACAGATGTTTATAATTTGGGTGAAAATGTGCAGCTATTTCCAGGAACCTTAGGTTATGGTATCCAACTGTGATTTTTTTTTTTTTTTTTTTAAATCTTCATTGCCCTCTTGTGTTTCAACTCTGTATTACAGTTGGCTGAGGCCTAGATGATGACCTCCTTAATTTTTAGATATTTTTGCACTTTAGACAATGTTGTTTTAAATTTTTGTGTAGGTGGATTGTTTCATTGGATATTACTTTTCTGAAGGTAAGATCATTTTCATAGTACATAAAGTTAATAGTTGAGTTATATTCACTGTACGCTCTTATTTTCTGACTTCCGCTGATTTAAAGAATTGATTCATCTATCTGACTTATTTGAAGTACAGTGCTAATATCTAATATGCATATAATGAGTCTTCGAAATTGAGCAAATGCCTAATGAAAACATAATTATTTTTCAAATATCTGTCAAATTCCACTCATACCGAAATAACTTGAAACTTTATGACTGACATGGAAAAACCCGAGTGAATCATGGTTTTAATAAGTTGATATTCTGATGCCTGAATTCCAATTTCAGAATCTTTTGTACTTTTTATTAAAATAAGAATCACCCCTAAAATGACTTCAGAGTACATCTCAAAGGTATAGATAATTTAAAAGCAAGTGATGTGTGTATATGTTATTACTTTAAAAAATGTATTCTGAAGGTTGTCAGTATCACTATAGGTGTAGAATTGACATAAAATATCAATGTTATCAATTTGAGTACATTCTTGGCACTCAGAACAAGAGGAATGATTGTCATTTTTTGCTAATGTGCATTTTTCTTCTTAATTATAAAACCCCACTAGTTTCTGCTTCATGATCTCAGTTACTGAGAAAAGTAAAAATAAAAAGTAAATGTTTAGAAATCCTGTTTGTGTAAACTGAATATCCAGTTGATGGAGTTGGACAGCTAGAGTAGGGTAGGGGAAAAAAAAGCACTAGGTTCACTCATTTGACATGGATCTGAGCATGGGTTCACCATAACTTAGCAATACTGTACATGATCTCTTGTCAATCATCTAACCTCTCTGAGGTTTTTTTTTTTTCTATCTGTGAAATGGTGTAATAATATCTAACCTATTTCCAGAATCCTTTTTTGATGAATTAATGAATAATTCATTGCCAGCCCCGTAGGGCTCTTGTGAAAACCAAATGAGAAAACATGTAGAAAATTTTTGAATGTTTGGCAGATGTGAAGTAGTATTGTCATGTTTGCTTATGACCACTTTGAAGACAGGAATCATGTCTTATTTATCTTTATTTCCTGAACATCTAGAAGAGGCCTTCTAACACAGTAGTCGCTCTCTATATATAATCAGTGATTGAGGTCAGGGAGGCATAGTCAGTGAATCCATGCATGAAAGAGTTAGACTGAAAGATGCTGGAAGCTTGCTGCATATTTGATGTATTATCAGAGCAAAAACCTAATCATGCAGTTGTTCATCCGCATTAATATGTATAAGTCATGTGTTCATCTTTCATTCTAATATAATTCAACTGGGCCTTTTAATATTTCAGCCTCACCACTTGCTGGGCTCTGATCCTTCTTTTTCTTCTGCCTCCTCACGTCTCCAACCAGAAGGGGATCTTTTAGTCCTTCACTTCATGGGGAGCCTTCAGAGAGAGTAATGCAGCCACCAGAAAGGATGCCGTTTACCGACACAGTGACTGACAGGCTGCCCTGGCTCAGTTATCACAGTGCTGATGCTGTCCATTCTAAAGGTACAGTACTGTGATAACTGAAGGATGGCAGCCATCTTGCCTTCCATCAGAGGAGCCTCATCGTGCCCAGGAAGAAAGAAGGCGAAAGAGGAATGTGAAACAGGTGGCCGGGACCCAGAAACCCTCTTACCCTGCGCCTCTGTCGTATTTTTTCCTGGGGCATAGGGAGAGTTATTCTGCTTCTCTTTGCCTTGTTTTGTAAAATGGGATAGTTGTTGGAACAGCAGTGTTGTGCTGAGTGAACATATATTAAGCTGTTTGAAATCTTTAGGAGACTGAAAATAGATAAGTATTAGTTAATATTTCTGGAATGATATTCAGAGAACTTTGTATCATTTTTGTAAGTGTGAAAGGTAACCTAATTAGAACAGCTTGGCTCTTGTCGGCACACTTCTAGATTTCAAAATCAGATTCTACTTACAGAGAGGAAAAAAAGAGTCCAATATGTTGAATGGTATTGAAAGTATTGCATAAATAAAAGTCCATCTTTGTAGACTAGCTTATTGAAGTGAGGAAAGAAAAAAGCATATCTTTGTCTTGAAGGAGTAGATAGTGACATGTCATGTTTATTTCAGGATATTTAGGATCTGGCCTAATTCAAAAGAATATTTACGGAATGCCCATGTTATTGCTGCTGCTGTAACCTTTACAAAAAAATAAAATGTAAATTATTTTATTTCTGTCAAATAAGGATTAGTCTGCAATGAGGAATGTGAAGCTGTAAACACCAAGGCAGCGACACATGTGCATGAAAGACTAGGAAATTTTTTTTTTTTTTTGAGACAGGGTCTCTGTTGCCCACACTGGAGTGCAGTGGCGTAATCATAGGTCACTGCAGCCTTGATCTCCCAGCTCAAGCAATCCTCCTGCCTCAGTCTCCTGAGTAGCTGAGACTACAGGCTCAGGCCACTCTCCTGTAAATATTTAGTAGAGACAGGAGCTCACTATGTTGCCAAGGCTGATCTTGACCTCCTGAGCTTAATTGATTCTCTCACGTTAGCCTCCCAAAGTACTGGGATTACAGGCATGAGCCACCACACCCAGCCATGACTAGGAAATTTAACAGAGCACCACACATCTTCAACCTCCATCTTACTATAGAGAATACTGCTGGGGGTAAAATGTGGTTATTGGAGAACCCAGGATTTCCCACATGCCCTCAGCCAATCATCCCTCTTCCCTCCAGACTCCTAAGGACACCGTACATATGGATCAATAGCAAACTAGAAACAAAGTACATGACTTGGTGATGTGTTAGATCACAGTACTGTGCAAGACTCGGGTAATTTCATGTAACGTGTTTTAGGCTCAGAGCCTAATGGGGTATGTTACCCCTTCGAGGCTCGTATCTGTATCTGGGAGCTTGTGGATGTCTGATTGGTGTAGGAACCCAAAGCAGTGGCCCATGTGCTTGAGTAAAGAGAACAGAGATGGCTGAGGTCAGGCCCTAATTTGAAGCTACCTACCACAGAGAGGAGGGGAGAAAATAATATGTGACCTTTTTTTTTTTTTTTAAAGAGTCTCACTCTGTCATTAGGCTAGAGTGCAGTGGCTCTCAGTCTTGGCTAACTGCAACCTCTGCCTCCTGGGGTCAAGCCATCCTTGTGCTTTAGCCTGCCAAGTATCTGGGATTACAGGTGGGTACCGCCAGGCCCAGCTACTTTTGTGTTTTTAGAAGAGATGGGGTTTTACCATGTTGGCCAGACTGTTCTCCAGCTCCTGTCCTCAAGTGATTCTCCTACTTCAGCTTCCCAAAGTGCTGAGAGTACAGGCATGAGGCACTGTGGCTGGCCTCGTGTGACTTTTTAACATACAGTGAACCTTACCTAGGAGTCAGCACTGGCAACTCCATGTCTTAGATACGGGCGAGGTATATTACCAGGTCCTGCACTGGGATGCAATGGGGAAGAAAGGGGACTGGAAGGGAGTAGTCCCCGTATAGAGAGGCTCTGCCTTGTCCTTCATTGTACCAGTCCTCAGACATTGGTGGTCACTGTGTTCCTTTGCTGGCTATTGTAGTTCCTTTAATGTCTCTTCCCTCTTCTCTACCCAAAGAGGAACCATTCTTAGTGGTAACCTCTTGAGCCTCACTTGGTTGTCCCAGAACTGTTAATTTTCAGACACATTGACCACATTGTAGCCTAGTACCGTCATGTGTCCTGATAGATCCATAGTTTCTCTAAGCTATGTAAGCTACACTATGTTTTTGATTAATTACAGAGAGGGAGGGCTCCTTCCAGTTATGCTACCACTCCTGAAATTCCTTGGAGTTTTCTTAAAAGGAATTTCTGACAGAAACTCTGGAACAAACTTTTAGGAAGGGAAAGTTATGGGATTGGTGAATCCTCCAGTAATTTGAAACAGTCCTAAGTTTAGTGTTTTAGCAGGTGGAAAAAAGTGCTTCAAGAAGCAATGTGTTGTGCAATTGTTGGCCTTGGTGAAGTTTCACCACCTTCCCTGATCTTCCTGTTTTCCCCATTACTAGTTTTGTAAAAATTTCCTGGGTTTTATACTCACCCAACCTTGACCTCAAAATCTACAACCAGGCCTGTGGGGTGTTGAAGAACTGAGTGTTTGGTGTTGTTTGCAGTTACCCCCACACTACTGACAGCCGTGCTGGGTCCCCTTTCCTCTAAACAAGAAGGCTGAGGCTTAGTCTGCGGCAGGAGCTTCAGAAGCTTGGTTGGACCTGGAGGTCTTTGGCATCTTCAAGGCATTTCTTGGATGTAAGGTGTTCCAACAGGTTATCTGAGAAGTGATACAAGACAGATCCAATAGGGTTTTTCCATTGCCTTGCTAAAAACATAGTACGTGTTTGGTTTGTGTATTCATTGGATTCTTCAATTCAGGTGAAGTATGTGAGAATGGCAAAAATACAATTAAACCTAGAAATACTATATAATCCAGCAATTCCACTCCTGGGTATGTAACCAAAAGATGTGAAAGAAGGCACTCTGACAGATACTTGTACACTCATGTTTATAGCAGCATGATTCACAATAGCCAAAAGGTAGGAGCACCTCAAGTGTCCATTGATGGATAAGTAGATAAATGAAATGTAGTGTATACCTACATTGGAATATTATGCAGCCTTAAAAGGAAGGAAATTCTAACATATGCTACAACATGGATGAACCTTGAAGATAAGAGAAATAAACTAGACGCGAAAGGACATACACTGTATGATTCCACTCATGAGGCTCCTAGAGTCGTTAAATTCATACAGCCAGGAAGCTGATAGTTGCCAGGAGCTGAGGGAGAGGGGGAAATGGGGAGTTAAGTGTTTAATGGAGTTGTATTTGGGGAAGATGATATGGATGATGGCTGTTGCACAACAACGTGAATGTACTTAATGCCACAGAATGTATACCTACAAATGGAAAACTTTATATTACCACAATAAAAGGGATTCAGGATAATAACCCTCTTGAAGCCAAAAACATGTTTTAGTTGATTTCTCTGCTCTCCCTTAGTTTTCAGTGTGAAGATAACTGCTGTTCCAAGTAAGCAATTAAAATGTAATTGCCATGGTCTTTATGCATGTCAAGTTCTCTAATCTGAAGTCCTTTACATATGTTTCCAGGGTTTCTAACAGCATAGCTTTAAAACTATATAAAATGTAAAGAAAACTAAATAGTAGCAATGAGTATTGAAAACGATGAGAAAAAGGGGTGGACAAGAAGTCAGTTGATGTGGCATCTCTTGCTGGCTTTATGGCTTTTCTGGTGAGATTGGGCAACTTGCTGGTCTTCAAATCCCTGTTCCAGTTGCCTCAGCTGCCCATGTCTTTGGAGTTAGGCTACCACTCCTGAAATTCTTTGGAATTTTCTTGATCTCTTGACCTCGTGATCCGCCCACCTCGGCCTCCCAGAATGCTGGGATTACGGGCGTGAGCCACCGCGCTGGGCCTTGGAATTTTCTTAAATAGAAAAGGAATTTCTGACAGAAACTTTGGAAGAACTCCTAAGAAGGGAAAGGTCTGGGATTGCTGAATCCTCAAGTAATAGTGTTTCAAATTACTATCACTTGAGGGAAATCCTAAATTACTTAGGGAAATCATATGTATAAAATCATATGAGACTAAAGCAGCATTTAAATGTGGCATGTTATTTTTTTTTTAAATATAAACATGCAACATATGAAATAACAGCATTAGTATTAAGTATAGTTTTTAAAAGTATCCTAGTCTTACAAGTCACCTGTTACCAGCTTTATTAAAGGATCAGTCTATAGCTTGCTGTCTGTCATGAACAGTTTCTCCATTTGTTATATGCTTAAATTTGATAATAAGAATACAGCCATTAAGACTGGAAATAACCTTCCCTAAGGGATCACATTTTTATTAGCTGTGGGAAAAATCATTCATTTGTGGACCATGTCTGTTTTCATCACAAAGTCCTCACTTAGGGTCTTGCTTTGGAAATCAGATTTTAGTTGTAGGAACATTGGACTACCCCCACCAGATCCTGGACAGTATTCTACCTTGATCATACCACACACAGTTGGAGCAGACAGCTAGCTCTTGTTCCTGCCACACTAATTTGAAATATTTTGCTATGCCTAGCACATTTCTGGTTTCTTTGATTCAAACCAGCCAATTGTAAGTGTACCACAAATTTGAATCATTTTGTTTTGGAGGCCCAAGGGAGACGGTCTTCCATAGCCCAGGGTAGGGTGCAGTGACCACAGCTCACCGTGACCTTAGCCTCCTGATTAGCTGAGACTACAGGTGTACACCACCATGCCTGGCTAATGTTTCAATTTTTTTTTTTTTTTTTGTAGAGACAGGTTTTCGCCATGTTTCTTAGGCTTTTAAACTCCTGGGCTCAAGCAGTCCACCTGCTGTGGCCTACAAAAGTGCTAGGATTACAGGCCTAAGCCACAACACTGGCCTGTCTATCCCATTCTTAATGAGTTTCTTTCAGATCAGTTGCACTTTGAGACAGGCCTTTGACGTTTCTACACTTGAGAAGATTTTTTTCCTTTAAAAATTGCTTCATAAAAATTCTGCGTTCGTATTTACAGGTCTATTTGTAGTTTGTCCTCCTCATTACCAGTCATTTTTTGTTTGCTTTTTTGAGACGAAGCCTTGCTCTGTTGCCCAGGTTGGAGTGCAGTGGCACAGTCTTGCCTCACTGCAACCTCTGCCTCCCAGGTTCAAGTGATTCTCCTGCCTCAGCCTCCCCAGTAGCTGGGACTGCAGGCATGTACCACCAGGTCCAGCTAATTTTTGTACTTTTTTTTTAAAGATGGGATTTTGCCACGTTGACCAGGTTGGTCTTGAACTCCTGACCTCAGGTGATCTGCCTGCCTTGGCCTCCCAAAGTGCTGGGATTACAGGCATGAGCCACTGTGCCTGGCCTCTGGTCATCATTTTTAACCACAAGAATTCTTCATGAAGCATGAACAAGTTAGGTAAGGGAGGTACCAAAAGTCCATTTTGTATTTTTCTTTCATATTTAAGACATGATGAGTGTAAAGATTCCCACTGAAGGAGAATGCCAAGTGCTAGAATGTGCCTGAACTGGGTGTGGGGGCTCACACCTGTGATCCCAGTACTCTGGGAGACCGAGGCAGTCAAGACCAGCCTGAGCAACAAAGTGAGACTCTGTCTCAAATCAAAAAATTGTCCAGGCATGGTGGTACATGCTAGCAGTCCTAGCTCCACAGGAGGCTGAAGC